GTGCGTGTGTGCGCGCGCGCGCCCCTTCCCTAACTTGAAGGCTGATTGGTTGGGTGTTGTCAAGGAGATGACTGGACACGAGAGGAGAAGGTTCAACTCGAATAACAAAGTAACAGAAGAGAGCAGCACACCGCGAAACAGACAGTCACACTCTTGCATGCTGCACTTTCTATTTTGGACAAATGTGACAAATTTAGGTTAAAGTGACTCTGTTAACCTGTGAACTGACTGAACCCTCCTCTGCTTTTCACGTTCGTATCCCAGTTTGGATAATGGAGAGCTGCAATCAGCGGGTGTTCACACTGCTGCTCCTGCTGCGCTGCTTCATGAGTCTCTCCACCTCGTCCATCGACACCAGTAAGTTTTTAACACCCGGATACAACTGTGTGAAATACTCCACAAACTCAACTGAAAGAGGCTTGGTGCACGGGTGTGTGCTGTATTTCTCTGTGCACAACGCTCTGATTGCGCTAAATATAGAGTCAAAGTAACAAAACAAAGACATGCAATCATTTTAAAATCTGTGTGTGTGTGTGTTTTTTTCTTTAATTGCGTTAACAAGGTTTTTCCAAAGACACCAGCAACACATTTCAAATAAACCAGGCCAAGTTTATCTTTTAGTATTTCTACTAATTACTTCAAAAACATGAGAGGCTGAGACGTTCTAGTGCTTCAGTGTGTGCTCAGGCTGTACTGCTGTCCATAAAGTAGAAATCACTGACTAGGCTCAGGAACACTGACCCTGTATATCACACACGTTTTGCCTTCTACATAACTTCTGTTGAACTAAAGGTCTATGAAGACAGTGCCCAACAAAATTCGGCTTGTAATCACAAACAAGTGTCACAGTCCACCGTGTCCAATTCACAGTTTGCCTGTCCAAAGCCTGAAACGTCCCGCATGCAGAAGTTGCATTACTAGAAGGGGGAGATAATATATTTATAATATATATAAGTCGGTAGGAGGGATGGCTACCGTTATCCGGTGCCATGATGGCACCGGTTCTGACATAAACGGTAGTAACCAGACCGAAAAGCAGCGCACATTTCGGTGCTTTATTTCGGTGCTTTTTTTCCTGAGCTGTGATACACTTTGAATTCTAGCCAATCATTTTACGTTTCCGAGGATAGTAGGCGGGTCCAGGTACGTATGTTCTTTTATAGCAGAGCTACAGATTAAAAATGCCCAAGGCGAAGTGGTCAAAGTCTGGCTGTACTTCACAGCAAAATATGCAAACTCAGCAGCAACAAGTGCTTTAAGCTGATGCTGGGATACTGTCAAAGGAGGTAACACCTCAAATCTGATGAAACACCTGGCGACGCATAGCGTTTTTTTAAAAGCCGAGAAATGCGCCGTATTTGATAGCTTGCTGCGAGACCTCACACCGAGCACATCTACTGCGGGTGTGGTGCCTGTTATCGGACCCGGAGTTAGCAACATCCCCCAAAAACCCGAAGAGGAGAGTCCTGGCCCCTAGCCCTGCCAGTGTAGCAGAAATGATGAGGATGATGATGCAGCAGCAGCCGTTCTTCTCTGCGTGAGTAGCTTAATGTTGCTCATGTGTAATTTACATTGAGTAGGCTAACCACGTTATTAAATTAATGCATGTAAGGTGAACCAGCAAACACCGTCGTAGTTACATGCGGCTGTCTTCTTGTTTGATGGCAGATACTCCCTTCACCCTGGCCAAAAAGGCTAAAATGACCAAAGAAAAAGTGGAAAACAGTTAAACATGAGAGGTTTTTGGACAAAGTTTGTGTTTTTTCCATTGTTTAAGCACTGCTTCCAGCCAAGAGTGATACCATATATGCCCCATAGCTGCAGAAAAGGCTAACATTGTTACCTTTTTACAAAAAAACAGCTGAATATGAGAGGTATTTGGACCAATTTTGTGTTCTCCATTCTTTGAGCACCGGCACCGTTTCAAAAGTACCGATTTGGCACCGGTATCGGATAAAACCTAAACGATACCCATCCCTAGTCGGTAGTGAGATAAACATGTATGATGTACACTCCAGAGTCCTTCATCACTAGAAACAATTAAGCTAGGCTGCTAACATGTATTTGCTTGTAAATGTGTTCTGTGTCTTAATAAATTAATTATTGTACATGAAATATACAGATGGGAGCCAAATTCAAGAGCAAACCTAGACCAGACCTCTAAAGTAAGGAGATGTGATGGCTGATGTTGTTATACCTAAGGGTTTATCTTACTTATGCTCCCACCATATGAGACCAAATAATTTAATTGTGGGAGAAATTTAAGAGGTCAAAGTGGGACATGACCAGTAGCGTGATGGAGAATGACCGAGCTAAGATCCTGTGGGACTTCCAGATACAGAAGAATTGGTTCTTATACAGGACTTTTCTACTCTATCTGAGCACTCTATACAACTCGTTCATTCACCCAATCATGCAAGCTAAGTTGTTAAGTGCTCCCTATCAAACATTCACACAACATGGGAACCACTAACCTTCCAGTTAGTAGCTGACCTGCTCTACCACCTGAGCTACAACCACCCCGGACAAAATGGTGGTGGCTAACCAACCAGACATAGTGGTGGTGGACCAACTGAAGAAGACGGCCGTAGTGATAGATGTAGCAATACTGAATGACGGCAACATCAGGAAGTAGTAACACGAGAAGCTGGAGAAATACCAAGGGCTCTAAAAGACGTGGAGGATGAAGGTAGCAGTGGTGGCAATCGGAGCGCTTGGTGCAGTGACTCCCAAGCAAGGCGAATGGCTCCAGCAGATTACAGGAACAACATCAACAACATTGTTGAAGACCCAAGCTTGCAGTATGAAAAACAAAAGTTTGATGCTGATGCTTTGGTGCCTGCTTCCTGAACTGACACTGGGAGCTGGTTCCACCACAGGTGATGGTCCTGGTTGAAGATTCACTGAACTCAGAGTGCCTCCACACTCACCAGAACTCAGTCCAATAGAAAATATTCAGATTTGGTGGAATGGGAGATTTTCATCATGGATGTGCAGCAAATCCACAATGTCATGTCATGGAACAGAATTCTGAGACATGTTTCCAGCATGTTGAACTAGCATATAGCATACACCCCCTTAGCTGGCAAACAAAGCCCATAAAGAGGACCATCACCACCTGGCCTGAGGTCACCCTCCCCCGATTGCAGGACTGCTTTGAACACACACAGTGGGATGCCTTCTACATCCGGGTGTCCCCAAACCACCACCCACCTGCTCTTGGATAAAGGACTTCTTGGTCAACAGACCCCAGCCGGTGAAGCTCGGCCCTCACCTCTCTTCCCCTCACACTCTCAGTCCTGAAACTGGGAAAATAGTGTGCATCAAACAACCTGACACTTAACGTCACCAAGACCAAGGAACTCATCCTGCACTTCAGGTGGAACAGAACTGCCTCTGCCCCCCTGCACATCAACGGAGAAAGTGTAGAGCGAGTGGAGTCCTTCAAATTCCTTGGCGTCCACATCTCTGCAGACCTCTCCTGGTCAACTAACACCATGGCGCTAGTCAAGATGGCCCAGCAGCGGCTACACATCCTAAGGGTGCTTGCACAAAAAGTAATCAGTTCTCTGCCTGTCTGTCTCTGTCATCCAGTACTGTACTGTGTATTTATATTTATATTAAGTGTATAGTTAAATTATTGTATAGTCTTTATAATGTGCTAAGGTACCCATGCACTTTTCTAGAGCTGTTTCTAATCTTCTTATACTATGTATAATGACAATAAAGGCTTTCAATTTAATTAAATAGTGTCGCTAACAAAGTGGCCAGTGAGTGTATTTCTGTTGTTTGTATGTGTTCTTGAGTGCTTGTACAGCTTAGGCACTGGACAAGCACTGTTGACTGGTTGTTGGTTGCTCCAGTCTGCAGGCCAAATATCCTTGAGCAAATTACTAACCCTAAGTTGCTCTCCAAAGCATCCATCAGTGTATGAGTGTGTGTGAATATTACGTAGAGAGAAAAAGTGCATGTTGTCTAAAACACTGAGTGCTCTGGGAGAGTAGAAAAGGACTATATAAGAATGGGTCAAATGACCTTTTTTAACCTCTAGGAACTCATGAAAGCTGCCCAAGAAAAAAAACAATTACTAAACTACAAAGGTTATCAAATCAAATCTAAATATAACCTGTGAGCATTGTGAATAACCCCTCGTCTGTCAGCTCAACAACATAGACTTAATTTACAATACATTTTTGAGAGATGAATTGAATTTTCAACCTGCAAAATTCTTTAGTGAGGCCTCTGTACCTTCTGGTCACCCGTGCATTGGATGTTATCCTCTCCAGGTCTTCTATTTACTTAGGCCATGTGGAGGGGATGAGCTGTTTCCCACCAACAGGGGCTCATGTGCCCTAGGACATTCAAGTTGCCATGGAAACAAAGCTAATAAACTTCAGGGGTGGTCATAAATTTCCTCATTATTTGGCCTGTGGCCCAGAGGGAAGGGGCCATGGGTGACAGTGTGGAGGCTGCCGGAGCCTGCTTTTAGATAAGCTGCTTCTTAGACGTTGGTCCCACGGTAGATTTAGCAGACCAGGTCTACAATGTTATGATATGTGTGTCCTCCGAGGATCTGTTCTTCAGATGTGGTTTAACTAACTCTGACCTATCAGGCTAAAATGGTCCTGTTCCTTGTCAGCCAGCTATTTTTCTGCCAAGGGTGTTGTTTTGACCTCCTTGGCATTTTAATAATTCTGTAACTCTGTTAAATTAAAACCACATTATGTTATTTTTCATGACTTTTGTTTAAATGGGCTTATTTAGCAAATATTGAATTTTTGGGTGTATGGGATCAAAAGGAAAAAAGTCACGACAACTTCTACCTAGAACCACCATTTAAACCTGTCCTGCATGAATTATGACACCATCAATCAGGATTTGAAAAAAGATTTTTGAGCTTAATTTTTTTTTAAATTTACTTTTCAAAGAGGTTTTTTTTACAAGTACACTGGCTGACCAGTGGGTGGCAGGGTATGGAGTGACACATCAGTGTGTAGTGATATATGTGCAAGTATACCATCAACACTGACACAAATACAAGAAAACCACCTATAAATACCTGTCTACTGTAGTGAGCACTGTGTGTGAAAGGGTTAATGTAACACCAGACTGGTTAGTGCGCACATTTAGAGTTGAAGATTGATAAAAACATCCCAGAGCTAGCCAGAGATGACTGAAAAACATGGTAGCACCAGAGATACTCTGCATAGACCCAATAAGGAAGAAAAAAAAAACAGAAAAGAAGAAGGAATTCAAATTTTAGTCAAGTGTAAACCAAAAAGCTGGTATCTTGGGTTGGTAATTGTGAACAAAATGGTATTCAGGTGGAAGCCTTCATCTCGTTTGCAAATCCATATCTGTGCTGATGTGCAAATGTTAGTTTAAATTTTTTTTAAAAAAAGACACTACTGAATTCTTTTGGTTTGTAAGAACATTAAACAATGAAGTCAGAGTTGCACAGTTTACAGAGAATGGGAAAGCGAAAATATTCAGCAAGCTGAAATTTGTTGGCTGACGACAATAGCTTTAAGATGAAAGGAAGGCAACATAAACTCAAACAACCATAATGGTTCGAAATACTTTAAAATACTGTGAAAAAACAAACAAAAAAAACCCCAAAAGCAACACAACTCAAAAACACAGAGTGTGTTCAGGTTAGCCCATTTTTAATAAAGAGAAATTGATCAAAAACGTAGTAACCTTTTAAAAAAATCTGTAACAACCTTGCTTTGACTGTGTAATATGTGGGAAGTTAGTCTCTTGTTTTTTTTCTTCCCTGTCAGTGAATGTGGTAGATTTCTGTGGCCAGACAATCCAAGGTGACGGTATGATCATCAACTCACACCAGGAATCCAAGAAGTACTACTTTGTGATCATGGGGACTGATTGCCACCTGACAATGCAGGCCAGCTCTCCCAAAGACAAGGTCCAGTTCCATTTCCGCTTCTTCCTGGTTTACAGCTTGCTTAGAGTGGCCCCCCTGAGTCCTGTGCCTGTCTTGCCAGAGTCTCTGTCCCCCCACGGTTCTGCCCCTCTCAGCCCCAGATCGCAGTCTACCTCTGGTGAAAACTCAGAAGATCCGTGTCATGCCGGCTCTTACGTTCAGTTCTATGATGGTCGGGACACAACCTCGCCTCTCTTGGGGCCTCCTCTTTGTGGGAAGAGCCCACCCCGACCAGTGCTGTCCACAGGAAACTACCTGACCCTGAGGCTGGTGACCAGGGGGACTCAGCCTCGAGTTGACTTTGTGGGGGACTTCACCTCCTTCAGACTGGGTAAGAAAAACACGGTAAAGGTTATGAAAATGTGTTTGAAAGTCAGTCTTTAGCTAAGAAACAGGAGACCTTTAATCAAACACATACTTTAGGAAAGTTCTGCTTTGTTTTACTTGAAGGTCAGCTGAAGTTAAAAGCGAAAACCCACAGCGATGACAGAAGAAGCTTATAAGAAACTGGAATAACACGTCTTGTATTTTAATGTAACATTTTATTTTGCACATACAAAATGTCACTGGAGATTTAACAGGATAGACAGATGCTGCATCATTTAAAGTCAGTGTTAATTTAATTTGAGAAGTAGCGCTGGGGGCTTTTGGCCTACTACTCCTTGCAGAAACTCTCTAAATCCTTTAGGTGTCTTTGCTGCAACTTGGCAACTCAAAACGGGAGCTCTGTCCACAGATTTCCTACAGGACTGAGGTCTGGAGACTGGCTAGGTCACTCCTGCAACTTGTGCAGGTCTGCAGGGTTGTCACTGACAGCTCTTTGATTTTACCCATAGTAGTGCTGAGGTTGGAATGGAAGAAATCGGTTCTGTGAGCAGGTGTGATTTCTTTTTTTTTTGCCTGTCCGGTTTGGTTCTTTAGCCATCAGAATTGATATCTGAAAGCCAACAAAGGCACCCAATGGATTTACTTTTCCAAGTGGATCATCACGGCCTTGCCGTTTTTGTCCATTTGAGCAACCCTTGTTGTTATTATTTATTTTATTTTATTTTCAGTTGTTACAGACGGGACTGACATGGCTGGGGGATAGGAAAGGAAGAAAGAGAGATGAAGGAACAGAAAAACAGAGGGGAAGAGGGACAGTGAGAAAGGAAACTTAAAAAGAAAAAAAATCTCCCAGATCACCTGTTGAGAGAAAAAAAAGAAAAAAAGAGAAAACAAGCAAAAAAAAGAGAGCAACATAATAAGTGTAAATAACAGTAAATACTAAATATTAAATGTTTTTGTGCAGCACGCAGGACCGACAGCACACAGTGTGCTTTGAGGTAGCAGCCAAGAAAAGTGTAGCTTGTCTGAACACCTGTGTGGATCAGTGCGCTTGTTTTCAAAAGGTTTCTCCATGTAACGATCTGCTAGAGGGTGTTGGGAGCCATAGCCTCGTCTCCCAGGGCATGAAGCATGCATGGAGGAGATCCAGGCCCCAGACATCCAGAGGCTCCAGAGTGCGAGAGCCCAAGGAGGTCCACTTTAAGGGCAACCATGCCACCCTCCTGAGAAGATTTGAGGAGAGCCCCAGACGAGAGGACTCCCAGCAGCCACAGAGCAGAAGCCAGAGGGAGCTGCAGTGGCATGCCCGCGGGCTCTGCCGGCAGCCAGCTGTGCCAGAGTGAACCGAGCCGTAGGCCCAGAGGCCGGAGGGCCCCCCAATCCCCGGAAGGGGCCCGACCAAGCCATGGGCACCAGGACCCGCCAAGCAGCCACCGGGAGTGAGCCGGTACATACATGAGCGCCCAGCCCTGGACACCACCTAGACCCAGGAGATATAACCCTTTCCCCGGAGGTGGAGACAAGCATACCGCTCCCGGCTCTGCAGCAGCCGGGAGGCCCTGCATCACAGACCCCAATTGGACGGCCAACTCCTCCTCCCAGCCTCTGCGTCCCAATGGCTAACAGAGAACGGGGGTGTGTGAAGACCCCATACCTCCCTCCTCTCACTCATGTGTAGTGTTGCTGCGTGCTGTTCCCAAGTGCATTTAAAACACAGGAGGGCATGGTGCTGCTGGCAAAGAACAGCAGGTGTCAGCACGGCCCCTCTCGAGAACCCTCAATGTCTACATGCATTTAAAATCAAGAGGCGGCCACCAGCATCAGAGGTGAGGTTCAATACACAGACCGTCCCCCACCCCCAAGGCCCTATATGTATGTGTTATGAGAGTGTGAGTAATGTGGATGTCTAGGTTGTGGAATAAAATTGAGGCACAGGCGGCCAGAAGGGGACAGAGGGGACACAGCAGGTGTGATTTCTAGACATGAAGAGCTGAGATCAGGAGTAGCTGTAATTGATTTACTGATTTGTTCCTATGTATGTGCCATTGTAATGTATGGGCACAGCCAGTCTGTGGGCTGATATTTGGTGAAAGAAAAGAGAGAGACTGGTCATTTCTGTTTAAAACATAGAAATTCAACCGGGCATCAGAAGTATTCCCCCCAGTGCACACTGCTGAATAGTGCAAAAGTTCATATTTAAATTCTTAAACAGTGATGTAGATTGTATTCAGAGTAGTTGTAAAAGCAATGAGAAGTCTTTTGTTTTAATATTAGTTGTTGGCAGATCACTGGAAATAGACCAACGTTTTTTAGGGTTTGCCAAGTTTTCCACTCAGGCCTTTTATATAAGTGCTGTTTTGTTTCTTTGGGGATATTTATTTGATATCTCCCTTTGAGGTAGCAGCAGGGGATCAATTCATTATCCCGCCTCACTGTATCTGCAGCTAGACTTTGTGACTCTGTGTCAGCAATACGTGGAGGCTTTACATTTGCAGATTTCTGTTTGCCATACCTCAGGAAGGCCAGAAAGTAATTTCTTCAAATTTGGTAGATATATTCATTCTTGTCCTTACCACATCTTCCATTATAAAATGGACCAGAACCAGAACACAGGGCATCTTTCTTCAGGAGACAACACTTTGTTTTCTTGTCAAGCTGAGTTTGTTGTCGCTTGTTCAGGTGTTTATTGTGTCTTTCAGTTTCCACATAACACTGAGTAGAGATGTGAAAACAGATTATTTTGTTCAGTGTACATTGGTGCTGTTTGTGGTAAAAGAACGTCTTCGGTATGGTTTGAAGTTTGAAAAAGTTTTGTGTCTAACATTAGTTTTGTGTCATGCAGCAGACACGTAGATTTATATTTAAAAACAAATCATCTGTATACTTTTGTGCACTTGGCTTAATAAGTTCAACTGCATGTTTTCAGTGGGAGAAACGTTTTGTCATCATCCAAGTGACTTCCTAAACGTAAAGAGCAGTATGTGAGTGATACACTGTGGCTGTGGTTTCATGGTCAGAGTAAGGTTACACCAGGTGGAGCAGAGAAACATGTCGTTAGCTTCATAGCATAAGTGCCTAAGTCATTTTTTTGTGTTTTGTGTTTCAGACGGACAGGATGATGCAGCAGTGGTAGGGGAGTAAAGTTAGGCAAAAATCTCAATTTGACCAAAAAATGACTTAGGCACTTATGCTATGAAGCTAACGATGTGAATTTAGATGATGATGCTGAGATTCATTGACTGAATTCCACCATCATATCAACTTTATACCACCTAGAAAAACAGACAGCATAAACAGTGTGCTGTCAGTGTGGAGGATGGAAATCAGCCAGGACAACTCAGGAAACATCTGCTCACATCTGGTTGATTTAAGTTGTGTACATCCACAAAGAGCAGCAGGTCAGCTGATCACAGCCTGTACACTAAGAAAATCTACTGCAGCTCTTAGTAGAAATTATTGAGAGTTATGATTATTTTCCCCACACTGAGCCACTAAGACCAATTATAGGGTTCCACACCCGCTGAATCCACTTTAACCTCTGACTGTACACATTTTCTGTTTTGTTTTGGGGGGTTTTCAGTTTCACAAAAATAGAAACATCCTCAAAATAGGGTTTAAATTTATTGATGTCTTTATTATCCAGGTGAGTAAATCCCAAAAAGTTTATTCTGTTCAT